GATCAATGAGAACTACAGGGCTAGTTAGCTCCCTGTGAAGTGAATTATACCTACATCAACTCGAAATTAACTCGCTCATCGTGAATCCTCGATAAGATATTAAGGAAGTTCCAGACAAGAAAGAAGACTTTATATTGCTTGTAAGTTTGTAAAATTTTTGTATATAATGCTTGTAATAACTATTTGTAATAACGGTTATTGTAAATTGTGTTGTTGTTTGTATATCAAAATATATTTGTATTAAAAAAGAAAACTGTGTGTATCAATCTTGTTAGCAAATATCACAAATTGGAGATATATCGACGTTTACCTAACTACTAAATTTAAATTATCATTTAGCTCGGTTAGTCACCTTTGTCCTGTAGAAGATGTCCTTCACACAATTCCAGATGAAAAAGCTCAAAGGAGTGATGTCTGGCGGCTGCGCTGGCCAGGGGATCGGCCCACCGCAGCTCCTTTCTAGTGTGAAACGGTCCAGGAGTCTTGAAACTGTTTGTACAATTTCCTGACAGAATTTTTAATTGGTGGATTTTTATCATACACTCTACGATATTGTATTTTCACTCAAATAGGTGGTTTCATCTTTGTTCAGCCCCAGGATACATATAACCTCCTTCTGTGTCGCTATGTTTGTTAATGACGTGTTTGTAGACCGCATTTTACATGATTACACGTATTATGGTACAAAACTATTACAGTCTTGTCGTAGCTTAAGTTTGTAATACGCCACAAAGTTTCCAACACCCTGTATATATCTAACGAATTATACTATCAAGAATAAAACCCGATATGTACTTGAACCGCGAATATATTTTCTCGAATAAGTCGAGTAATTATGGATCACCTAATATGAAATATATTTACACAAATAGAATCTCTATAAACTGTCTGAATAAAAAGGTGTACAAACCAAATTATTCTTCTGAAATTATCTAATGATTATATTTGTTATTAAAGAGAGATTTGGGTATTTACTAAAATGTTTGGGTTCAAATATGTTGTTGTTTCTTAGCAATTACGGAGTTTACAATGACAGTGAAGATAAAACAATTTCTGAAACGAAACGAGCGAACACAGTTTCCTACCAGATAAGAAATATCAACATCATATGAGCTTAGCGATTATTCTAATAAGTTTGGCGTGCTGTTTATTGATCAGTTGCTAACATTAATCTATAGAGGTTGAAGGTTAAAGACTGGATTAATTTCCTTGCCAAATTACATAAAAAGTGGTCACGACAACTATTTTCATAAAAGTTTGCAGAGATAGCTCTTTGTTCGTATTTAAGATACTTATAGAAACCCATCGATATTACGTGTAAAGATTATTCACACTGAAACGAAGAAAATAACCTCCGAAGCCAAAACAAAGTTATAATGTCTTTCCAAAAGATGGCAGCACCATAGAAATAGTCATCTAGCTTCTGTAGGGTCAGTTTTGGACTCAAACTTCTGAAGTCGTGTTTGTTGTTTCAACGCCGTTATTGTTCAGGGCACACCCTATGTCTAGAATTAAGAAAATTTAATTGATTTCTTCTCTGCACTGCACATAAGCTAAAGATAAATTGATTCTTTCTTTGCACTTCACATAAGCTAGTGATGTTGCCTTTTTTTTATTTGGTTATGGAAAATAACCAATGTACATTTTCTATATTTCACAGAAATGAAATATTCTGTAAGTTAATTATGCGAACCTCATTCTCATTTCGATATCTTACATGGGTCAAACATGGTGACGTTTGTCCATGACATTACGATAAGAATGCTATCTTTATATGGGTCAAGAATCGTTTCGTTTTTGAATGAAATTCAGTATTGGTTTATTCATAGATTAAATTCATAACTTGTGAACTATTCTTGTATTTGACAGTTTTAACGCTCTTCTATTTTGCGTAAATAAAAGTTCAAGGCAATTTCATCTAGTGAAATTGTATATTATTTTTTAATTAACTCAGAAACTCATACTTTCACTGTTCATTAACTTTGAGCAGAGATTTTGACGAATCAGTATCTTTTTTTTCAACTTCACAAAGCAACCATTAAGACATAAGCACTAGTGATCTGATTAATATTATTACTTTATTATTTCTTTACTAATCTTTCTCCATACCCTTACAGCTGAGCTTGATTTTTTTTTTTAAATTTGCAGGTGCAACCAAATTCAGAGTATTCTTAGTCGTTACTCTTGGTGTGTTGAGAAGAGACAAAAAATTTATTTTTTTTCTTCTAATATCCACTATGAAAATATAACTATAAAATAAACTGAGCGTTTTAGCTAGATTTCTTCGAGTAATTTGTTTGTGGACAAAAATGAAATATTAACACTATAAGCGTTAATGCATCATTATTTTGTATTTGTTATGAAACAAATAATAAAATGTCGTTACTTCAAGTCAAAGAAATGATTTACCGAAAGAAATTTCAGTTCTTTTTTTTCTATTTTTGTTTCATATTTTTCAATAGTTGGGTCCTGTGATAATCCATACGTGAAAACACGCAGATAAAAGATAAACTAGGGAATGGAAAACTTTTTATTTTAATATCCTTACCAAGAACGTCAACCTTTTGAAAGTGCTACAAGTACCTGAGCTAGTTCTGTAAGATTCTACACAATTTGAAATACTTTATAACGCAGATCAATTCTTCATTTATAAACTGACTGACATAATGCGAGGAATTAATGGATAACAAAAGTTATCAAGAAAAAAATAATACATCTATGAATTTGGATTTTCTAGGTGATTCAGCATTTCAAGGCCAATAATACACAATGTGTGATGCTAAATTATAGTAACGGTACACAATAGCAAACACCATTTGTGTGTGACTGTATATATATATCTAACATACATAATAACACTTTGGTACTCCATATAGTTTACACGAAATTTCTTAAATACGATCCATGTAACTACACATTTATAAACTGTACACTGGTTAACAATAAAATAACTTTAATATCCTGCCCTTTGTATTCTTTATCTTTTTGTTTCCTTTAGAAAACAAATAAGAACAGAAGGTGGGCAATCTATTAGTGCCTTTTAGTCTCTTGGCATTTTAGTACATAAAGAAAAGTATTTCGTAACAAAATATACAAGAAAAAGCGAGAGATGGTCTGTCACGTGATAGTAATTAGTCAAAAAGTCCACTATTAGTTTCAGAAAGGTACATCAAACAGAACATATACTAACTGCCGTCTCCGGTTCTTTCTTTTCGCTTCCTGATCACCTCGAGACAAACAGTTTTTCGGTCATAAGCCAGACCAAGAAAGGCCATGAAGTTAATAAACATAGTGGTTATGTTCCACCTGAAGCCTAACTCACTTGTGGCGTAATCCCATGGAAAAGTATGATGGTAGTTATGGAATCCTTCTCCCATTGTGCTGACTATAACGTATTTGTTTTCTCGTGGATTAATATAGCGATCGTAAGGCCTATTTCCCCACATGTGGGCGGCACTGTTTACTAGCCAGGTTATGTTTAATGTCCAGCAATAACGGAGGATCACGGCCACGTAGAAAGCGTTCCAGTAAGTTTCATTCCAGAACCAGGCTGGCACTACAGTAGGCATGACGAAACAGCATAATACAATCAACGGAATGTAGTATCTGGAAAGAGAGTGAATAAAAAGTAGAAAAATATGTACATAGAAAACGAATGACTAAAGGTTTGATGTTGATTTTTAAGAACTACTTTCTAGAAGTTTGTTTCAAAAGTTTTGCACAAAGCTACACGAAGAATATTTGCGCTAGTCGTCCCTAATTTCGAGCTTATGGCCTAGATGGAAGACAGCTAGTCAAGAACACCCACCATCTACTCTTGAGCTACTCTAATTGAATACTTGAACTCGATCGTCACTCTTATGATACACCCATAACCCAAAGGCGAGGAGTGCGTTTTGGCGACAAGGATCGCGGATAATGGTCCCTCAGATTCAAAGTCTGGCAAGGTAATCACCAGACCACCCCTAGCCCACGTTATAAAAAAGGATAAAAGTTTTCGACATTTCTCAGTGTTGTATTCTATATGAAAATTTGCATCGGTTTGATTGGTTTAGATCAAAGTCACGTTAGGCTATCCGCTGCGTCGATCGCGAGGAATCGAACCCTGGATTTTAGCGCTTTAAGTCTGGAAACTTATCGCTGTCCAACCTTGAGACACTTGCAACAGAAAGAAAACAATTTTTATTCAGTGTTACTGCTATAAATCCTAAGCAGCTTAGAAACTGAAAGAGAATGCTTCTATATGAGGTAAGTGACGGCATCTATTGAGTTTCGATACCGTGGTGAGCTGAGCACAGATAGTCCATTGTGTAGCTTTGTGCTTAATTACAAACCAACAACCAACCAACCAACAAACTGACTTGCTATTAATTAATATTAATTAAACAGCTTAGAAACTCAGAAAAAAAAAGTTTTAACTTGTAAGTGGCGGCATCTATTGACAATGTAATAATTACATGATTTTTCTAAATGTTAAGTTAAAAATCATTTTCTAAACGGTAAAATTACACAAGGCTGCTAACAGTAACGTCAAACATAAATAGTACAGTGCAGATCTGTTAGTCACGTGCATAGATACGTAAGGCTGTTTTTTTTCGTAGTCATGCGTTTAAATAATATGAAATTTGTTATATCTTACTTTTTTTATATAATGTATAAATTCACAAGTTGAGCAAAAACGTATTTTTAAACTGCAAGTTTTAATTTACATAAAAACATAATTAAAGTTTTCCCACAAGACTAACAGACTGCCAGTAAAATATGTTCAGTTCGGCTATCGGGGGGAGGGGGGCGGGTTTGTCGATAGAGAGTTTTCTCTTATGGAATTAATATAAAGTAAAAGCGTTAAAATTAAAAACGATGATTGTGATATTTGGTAATCAAATACCGATGATGAATTTGTTGCGTTATTGCGATAAAGTTAACAAAGCATTTTGCGATTAGATATGGAGAAACTAAAGATAGAATTATATATTATTATTGTATATTTGATATTATTGAGTTTAGATGAACATTAAAACTGCATAAAAATAACAACAACAACAACAAAAAAAAAACAGTCCGTAGGAAGGGTAAGTGTACTTCACTAAATTAATTGTTTCAATATCAAACGAGTTATTGAACTTCATTACGTAGACACGTAAAATGTGGGGTTCGATTCCTGAGCGGGTAAGACACAGTACATGTACAACTTTGTAGTTAACAAAAACAAAAAA